GCCGGCCACTGAACTGTTTCTCGGGGGGACACGTTTCCTTGTAGCACCACTATGTGCGTTAGCATTCCGAACAGTTTGTTGCGGCGGCAGGTGCCAATTCCACTGATTGTATTGACTGACGTTAAAAAAAATGTCCCGTTTTCGCCAACGCTGAATGTATATAAATCGCTTAATGTGTATAAAATTTTTGGTTTTAAATTAAATGAATAAACAATTTAAAATAAAAATATGTAATTTTTTATGTTAAAGGATCATGTTTGCATCTATTGAAGTATGAGTTTATATCTTGATTATTTAAAATGGGAAACGTCGACAGATACAGAACAACAAACTATCAACAAAGTACAAAAAAATCAGCTCGTCTCCATTTGATTCGTGACTTTTACCAGTTTGTTCCAACACTGAGTTGTTGTTATTGTTTCAGCTGCGACATCATCCTTACATTAACATTTTCTCTGCCTGTCTGCCCTCAGGAACACTTTAATTACTACACCGTGGATGCTGCCCTCGGCCACTTGGTCTTCTCAATGAAATACGAAGTCATCGGGGATCAGGAACATCTGCGTTTGATGCTACGGTACAGTTTCAATTTTATTTATTATTTAAATGTATTTATTCCTTTTTCATTTCAACACCCACCACTCTGATGCGCATTTTCTTTGCTTGTATTATTTTTAGGCTGTTCTTGTTCTGTTCTCCTCTACATATCACATTAATACCCGTGAAACACAGCACTAACACATGTATGCTGACTGTATCAATTTATTGAGGCGCTCTTTTACGTTTAAAACAAAACATAAAGAAGAAATTTCCTAAATTTCCTTTGCAATATTTTCCTGCTGTGATGTTACAAAGCTCTCTCTTACTCACCAACTCAGCTCTGTGACTCCCTCCCTTCACGGCTCAGACCTGCAGCAGGTTGACTTCAAAAGCTAAAACGGCTAATGTCTTGTATTTTCTTTCTTAAATTACATCATCATTGATTTAGCCGTTTAAATTTTCATTCAGATTTGTTTCTTTTGTATCTCACTAGCACAAAGAATGACAGCACTCCTATTTTTGTTCTGGGTTTACATAATAGCTTAATATTTGAAACCTAAATAAAACCCCATTTTTGTGTGGGAAGATAAAAAAAAATGTCCAAGTCTCTTTGTGAAAACAGTGACTATAACACAGACTGGTCAAAATGTATCCAATAATCAGCACTATTCATGCAGGCTGAACAAGCGTAACACCTCCTGAAGCTGTATTTACTCACTGAAACCAACCACTTCATCACATTTTACTAAAGAGAGACGAGGAGCCAAGAGGCAGAACGCTGCGTGTGGCGTAACCTAAAAATTAAATTTAGCACCCGAGAGACCCCTTTCGAGATTTTAATGGCCGTGTTCTTTCTTTGTTTAATGGATCTTTAGAGAGGATGAGTGTGCAGTGAGGTAACAGCAACTCAGCCCACATTCTTCACATAATGATGTTTTATAGAGGGCTGACACCACCCACAGTCAAATAGTCACATTTAAAGCAGTTGGATGACCTGCAGAAAAGCCGTATTGTCTATATTTAAATAAATGACGTGGACACTGGGAAGACGCCAGGGGTTAAACTTGTGTTTAAAGGCGGATTGGCTGATCGATCATCCTATTAACTGAAACTATATTTGCCATTTTGTACATAATCAGAGTTGCACCTGAAAGTGCTGAAGTCAAAGTGTTACTAATCTCAATGTTGCACTTTTATATATGGAGGACCAAAACGGACATAATTATAAATAAAAGCAGAAATACAGAAATGTACCAATAAATAAATAAATGCACTTAAAATGCACCAATTAAATTAAAAAAGGAGAACTTTACCTCAAGTTTTATAATTTATTTGACCCTCATGTTTATTTTTCCAACTTAGTTCCAGTAAATTATAT